TTACCAGCCCTAAGGGGTTGCCGACTTATCAGCAGATAAGTCACAACACCCCCAAAAGAAAAAAGCCTGGGACGCCACGCCAGCGGAGGATTTGCCCACTCCATCTATTGGTGACGCTCGTGAACACCATTGTTCAGCCGTACGTGAGGATGACCACAAAAATTGCACATGTATATAAACGAGTTTATGTTAATGGTTGGGGGTTTACTATTACCGTATGGCCCCGGATATAGGCGCCGGCCTATTAAAGGCGCCGGCGCTTCTATCTGGAGCATGGCGCTTATGGCCGATCCTCGATTATAAGCGCCCCCCCCTGTAAAACCATTACTTATTATAAGCGCCCCCCCTTTTTAATTTAAATATCAATTGAAATCGGTAACAAATTTCAGTTTTGCAGCGAGTCAATTTTCATATTCGCTTCGTTTGACTCGCGAAGACCTGACTGGCTGCGCGTTCAGTCAGGATGTGCTGGCATCCCTGCAAAGTGACGCGAATTTGACAGTGTGCAGGAAGCAGAATCGCTTGCGCGCGATTCTGCTTTGTGGTACTCTATATGATTTCGACTCGTTTCAATTTTGTACCTTTAACGTATAAATTTGTATGTGTCATTATATAAGCGCCGGCGCTTATGGCCGTTACTCAATTACAAGCACCACCCCTAAAATTTTTGAACTTATTATAAGCGCATATGCGCTTATATCCGGGGCCATACGGTACTATCACATACTATTACAGGCCCCCATATTTTTCACGAAGTATTTCATAAAGCGCGGATCTGGTTATCGATTAGTAAGGTCTCAAATACATTCCAGAAGCAGTTTCTGGATGGATTGAATCATTTCCACTAACATTGTTGATGATTACGCTGAAAATCCTTGTGGTAGGGAGGAGCCGAGTTTTTTGTGCCACAAGAAATTATCACCTCCAAGGGCATCCACTGTACAGTGTTCCAAGCTACAGCAGTAGCAGCTTATTAAACAACAACTGCACCCAAAATATACATTGAGTTGAAAACATTGTCATCCCAACTCACTGGCCTGGGTGGCAGTAGAGCACTCAGTCCCTCCCCCCGACCACACACGGCATGAGGCGCCTAAAAAACGTTACTGCAGCAGTCCCAGCAGCACGTTTAAGAGCAGCTGCACCCATAATTCACGGGGCCAGGGTGGCAGTCCCCGTAGTGCTTGTAGTGGGTAATCCCCTTGAAGCCCATAGGATGAGTGCCAAGAGACCTCCAAACTGTTTCCACAGTCCCACACCCACAGCCGCTGGGCCCAAGCAGCCAAATCATCAGTTTGAAGAGCAGCTGCACCCAGGTATTCCCACATATCCACCAGTCCCGGACAACAGCAGTGCAGGCAGTCAGTTTCCCACTAGTCCACAAGCCCTTCGAGGCACCTCCAAAGTGTGATTCTCCCAGCAACTCAGCCGGTTGGCAGCAGCAGCCCCTGCAACATGTTGAAGAGCAGCTACACCCATGTATCCACAGGACCCGGGTGGCATTAGTGCAGGCAGTCCTTCCGATCCACATGCCCATCGGGTCTCCATACTGCTGACGCATTCACATCCATGTATACCCCTCCCACGCCCTCCGTCAGCCACTTGACAATCCCATTCTGCTCCACAAACTTGTTCCAGTGCCAGCATTTGCCATCCGGAAGGTCTAGAAGCTTCTCGGAAAGCGGCGTATCATGCAGAGAGCAGTTGAGATGCCCGGGCGGGGTGTTTCGGACGATCATGAGCATTTCAGGGTTGGCGTTCCGGAGAGCCAGCAAAGTAGGCCGCAACTGCCTCTCAAACCTGGCGTTGTGACGGTAGTGTGCCCCTCGGTTCAGAACCAGTATCGACACATTCATCGGTTCAATCTCATTCATCCAAGTCTCCTTGAAGCTCCTATCCAACAGGAAGTCGTTCACGTCTTCCGTGGAGTTGAGGGTTGTTATGAGGTTTGGTAGGAGGATTTGTTGAAGGATTAGTAGGAGGCTTGGTGAGAGGTTCGGTGAGAGGTTCGGTGCTGGGAGGTTTGATAAGCGGTTCGGTGCTAGGCGGGTTAGTTGAAGGACTGAGTGTGACACCTGAGTCTGTTGTGGATGACTGTTCTGGCTTCTCAATAAGAGGTGACAACGAGATGTTAGGCTTCTCAATAAGCGGTGACGATGGGTTGTTAGGCTTCTCAATTAGCGGTAAGGATTATATTTTAGGCGCTTCAGGAACTGCTGAGCCTGAGGAAGTAAGATCTGACGGGAATGCTGTCACGGTAACGGTTGAGCCGCTCACAGAAGAAGGGTCTGCTGGGACTGGAACGCGAGGAGAATCGCTGACAGGAGAAGGGTTGGCTGGGACTGGAACGCGAGGAGAATCGCTGACAGGAGAAGGGTTGGCTGGGACTGGAACGCGAGGAGAATCGCTGACAGGCGAAGGGTCGGCTGGGACTGGAAGGGAGGTGGTGGACTCAGGGAAGCTGGAGGCGATGTTTCGAATCGGGAGAAAGGAAATGCAGTATGTCTATAGTCCAATGAGAACGAACGCGAGAGCGAGAGAGATTTCGATGCGGGCGTGAACCGTCGGGAGCTTCTCGGCTTGCCAATGTTTAGGTTTTGTCGTCGTGCCTCCATCTGGTCCAATCATGGTCCGTAGTTCGGCGTATTCAGAAGAAGTCGTCGCCATGTCACTCCGTCGAAATGCGCAGGAACAATGTGCAACAACTTATAGCTAACGACGACCTTATATCATCCTATGTTGGCATGGAAGGCACAACGACATCGCAATTCCTGGGAATTGCGATGTCCAGTGGATTCAACTCACAGCATCATATGTCGCCATGGAAGGCACAACGAGGAGTGTGCTAAATCATCCTAGGTAAATCGTCCGTAATTCACAATCTAGGAGACTCGGCAGGACTCAAGTAAGCTGACGTAGTAGCAATGCGGGAGAAAATACTCAGGAAAGAAAAAAAGGCGAGAGAGGAGGCCTCGGCTCAGTCGCCGGTGGACAGCAGTTTCTAGGAGAAAAAACTGCCGACGGAGGACTCTTGGGAGCTGAGGTTGCTATAGGGTGGGAGAACGTCTCAGACCACTGTATAGCGCACACAAAACTCTCAGGAACTACTCAAACCGTCTGCAACTCATTTGTTCTTCTTCTGAAAATCTTGCCAGACCCTTCACTGATCTGGTTTCAGTCTCGCAATTCCAATCGACTTCTGACTGGAAAATGCTGCCTTCCTGACGGGCCGTCATCCTGTCAGTGACGGACGGCAGGTAATTTTCGTTCGTTTTCTGCCCTGGTAGAGATACGTTCGGTTTACAATGTTCGAAAACGGTGGAAGGCAAAAACCGTTCCTCACTGCTTTTCAGTAGGAAATCGATTGGAGATGTATGACTCGTCAAAAAACATCAAGCATCGCTCTGTAGAAATAGCTAATAACAGGCTTCTCAAAATCGGGTACAGTCCCGAGGTGCAGCTTTCCCTCGGATTTCTCGTAACCGCCTCTGCTTTTCTGAAGCTGATAATTGAAAGCGGTTGGCAATGTGGAGAGCCTATCTTGCGCCTTCTTGAACCGCGAGCATTCAGGAGCTTGCGTACTATTCTCTGCTTCTCGTCGCGCCTTTCACGGCGATTAATTGTAGTATTGCGGGAGTCGCGGCTATTGATTCCCTTCCCGCCGTCGGTTGAGCTATTGTAAGGTTAGGATTGTAAACGGTTGAATACGGTTTCTCTCCTCAACGCAGGAGTCAACCGTGGTACCATTTCTGGAATGTAGCAACCGCGGACGGCTGAATATGGCTTCAGGAATCGAAGAAGCGACGACTCGTAAGCCTCAGCTTAAGCAATTAGAGTCAATTCCGACAATTCACGCCGGTGTCGCGATCGCCCTCGCGCTTTCCTTCGCTCTCATTGGCCTATACACGTACGGCAGATCCTCTCCTCTTCTCCTGGATCATTTTACCAGATTTTCTGCTGGATTTGCATCCAGTTTACCCGATTACACTGCCTCCGACGTGGCCACATCAACACAATCAGGAAAATTAAGCAGACATGACAACTTTGAAGAACACCAGAGGCCACTGCAGCCAAATCAGCTGCAATTCGACCAACCCTCTGCCGGCGGTCAACTTCTGACGGGCGGTGAATTAGTCAACGGCGTAGCCGTTCCCCCTCGCGATCCCCACGTCGGGTTACCAACAGTCGCCGATTCTTCGCCTGTGAGCGGCGACACAACAGCATCCTTATCGATTCTCACATCGTCCTCAGACTCAACAGCTTCTGAGGCCGCTGATAGTCCAGCTACAGCTGTTCCAGTCGTCACACCATCTGCACCGGTTTCACCTTTTCCCCAACCTAGCGTCGAACATCCTCCACTCACCAACCCTACGACCAACGCTCCTACCAGTCCTCCCACCAACCTTCCCACCGACCCTCCCACCAATGCTGCGACCAACCCTCCTCTCTCCGAACCTCCACCTTCTCTGTGGACCCGAATCCCAGGCTCCATGCTAGATTCCCCGGATAAGATCCGATTTTTCCGGGAAAGATTCGATTGCATAGGCCGCGAGGGCAATTGGTCCCACTACGTCTCGCCGCGGCTGCTGCCGTGGCCGGACGAGATGAGCAAATGCGACGTGGGACACTTGAAAAAGAGCACCCGTCATGTGGCGTTTCAAGACGCGGATCGCATGGTGGGACAGTTTCAGGAGGTTGTGACTCAGATAGCGGAGATTAGTAAGATGGGGAGAGGGGCGCCGCTGCATTTGCTCAATCAGTTGAGGCAGCTGAAGAGACGGAGGGACGAGCTGATTCGCCAGTGGACTGTACGAGATACTCTCAAGTACTTTTGGCTGGTTCCAGGAAGCAGCACGGACGGCCAGGATGGAGCAGCGGCATCAGATGGTAGTAGTACCAACGCCAGCAGCTGCGCCGGGCCTTGGGAATGGTTCGACCCGGCAAAGTTCTGCAGAATTCTCGACAAGCGAAGCGTGCTTATAGTGGGTGACTCAATAAACATGCTTCTAGCCGACGCCATCCGGTTCAACGTCAGACTGGGTGCCAAGGACTGGGACTCCCGGGTGCAATGGGGTGAGCCAACAGGCTACTGCCAGCGATACCGAAATGCTACTAAAGAGCCCGCAGACAAGCGTTGCTGGACCCTTCATCTCTGTGCAGACCTCGGCTTTTCCGTCCGGGTTTTCTTTGTTCGGGATTATTACCTCAACTCCACGGAAGCGGAGAATGATTTCATGGTGGATAAGAGTTTTGGGGAGACTTGGATGGATGAGATAGCAGCGCAGGGCGTGTCGGTAGTGGTGATGAATCGAGGGGCTCATTTTATTGCAGATGAGCAGTTTGAGCGGCAAATGAAATCCACTCTGCTGGCCCTCCGGAAGAGCTACCCTGATCTGCTCATTATCGTTCGAAACACCCCTGCCGGCCACCCCCACTGCTGGCTGCACCGGAAGCCGCTTTCCGGGAAGCTTCTGGACCTGCCGCATGATGACTGGCATTGGGACGGGTTTGCGGCGCAGAATGAGATTTTAAAGAATCTGACGGAGGGCGTGGGAGGGGTGTACATGGATGTGAATGCGTCGGCGGTGTGGCGGGCTGATGGGCATGTGGGCCGGTGGGACTGCCTCCATTATTGCCACCCAGGGCCAGTGGACACGTGGGTGCAGCTGCTGTTCAACATGTTACTGGGACTGCTCGTGCCCACCAGCTGAGATGCTGAAGGGGTGACACTTTCGATGCGGCTCATGATGTGTGTGGATCGGTAGAACTTTTGGGTCGGTGGGACTGCCTGCTGTACTGCCACCTAGGCCAGTGTGTCGGGCTGAGGATTGGGACAACACAGTGGATACTTGGGTGCAGCTGCTGTTCAAGAAGCTGCGACTGTTATCGCTTGGGACATTGTACAGTGGATGGATGCCCTATCAGAAGATCATGTCTCATGGCACAAAACAAAAGGTCACTGTCCTCTTAGGTGACTCCGCCCCACCAATCGGCAATGGCACTGGAAATAATTAGACACATCCAAAACTACTGTTGGAATGCAGGAGATACGTTGCTTCAACAAAAAGGAGTATTAGTGCATTTCAATAGATACTGTAATGCCCAAATTTAGAAGCGAATGCGCCATTCGTAAATTCAGTAGCGGCCCAGTTCGGTAGCCACGCAGAAGCAAAATGTGAGGAAGATGAGGCGAAGGTAAGGCGGGCGTCAACCCAGGGTCAACGAATTTTGACCCTGGGTTGACTGCTCCGCGGAAAACCTGCGCCATGGGGGAGCTGGCGCAGATTGGAGGGGGAGCTACGAAAAATCGCCGCAGGAAAGAGGCACATTTGGCCTCGAATTCACAAGTCCCATGGCACTGTTGCGGGAACAGAAACCCTCGCCCATAATTAAAAAAAAAAAAAAAAAAAAACTAAACCCTAAACAACAAAACAAGAGGCGACGAAATCGTCTTAGGGTTGCGAAGCAACAATTGTAACATGCGTTTGAAGTTTGAACGACCTTAATCTTGTCGTTATATTTGGATTAAAAAAAACTACGTGTTCTTTTATCTTTTGATACGAAACTCGGTCGATGGGAAGCAAGATCACCTCGTCCTGGCCCACATGCATGATGCGCGAGGTCGAGGTGGCACAAGACGTGCACGTCGCCCCTGAGGTGGAGGAGTGGGTGAACCCACTGTTCGCCACAGCCGCGGAGGATGAGGAGGCGGCAAAGGCTGCGGATGCTGAGGATGCCGGGGACCTGGAGGAGGAGGAGGAGGAGGAGGAGGAGGAGGAGGAGGAGGAGGAGGAGGAGGAGGAGGAGGAGGAGGAGGAGGAGGAGGAGGAGGAGGAGGAGGAGGAGGAGGAGGAGGAGGAGGAGGAGGACGACGACGACGACGACGACGACGGCGACGACGATGTGGCTGACGAGGAAGAGGAGGCGGAGGGTGGGCTGGAGGAGGACGCGAACGCTAAGTACTTGATGGAATCTAACATGACCAAGCCGTAGTTGTAGTGACCACTAGGTGTTGAGATGTGTATGTAGTACGGTAGGTAACAACGATAACAATGTTAACTGCACCAAACCCAATAGGGCCTTATATGGAAAGGGGGGGGGTCTTATAATGATTAGCTACAAAGGGGGGGTCCTCACAAAACCTGCCACAATATGAGTCCCCCTACCCATTCAAGAGTCCCGGGGGACCCTCTTACCGGCGCGTCCTATAGGTGGCACTTTACGGTATGTTATTTTTTTTTTTCCTTTTTTGTTTAACCTTGAACCAAATTGATGATGATGGTTTGTATACATGATAGGGCTGGGATATAATGGAAGTATACAAACAGAAATAGTTGTAGATCTGTTTTTTTATATTTCCAGTTATCAATCGTTTTCACTAGGGAGAGTGCTGCTCCCTTCATTGCGCGATGACGTCAGCAGCGTTGATTAGATACTACGCAGAAACATCCTAGCGTTGAAGCTGACGTCATTAAAAAAACTCCAGAGAAATTTCGAGAGACACAGCTGACGTCAGCTGCAATTGTTTGCGCGCGAAACCTCGGGCGACGCAGCTGACGTCAGCTGCAATTTCTGACGTCGCTGCAATTCGAACGTCGCTGCTGATGTCAGCCGGAAAGTTCTTGCGCGTGAAATTTCAGGCGACGCTGTTGACGTCAGCCCGCAATTACATCGCGTGAGACTTTAGTGGTTGCAAGGCTGCCCAACTGTTTCTAACTGTTTCGACAGTAAGAAACACCACAGCATTTTGACAGCTGTCAAAACGGGTGACAGTTGTTAGACAGTTGTAAAAACAGTGCTCAAAGGAATAACACCAGTTGACGTTTTTGTTTCTGCCAGCTGTCGGCACTGTTTGTCAGAATCTTAGCTTGGCTAAGGAGCCATGGCTAGTGAGAAGTTCGAGTGAGTTTGAGTTAGGAGAGTCGAGAAAGTTGAAAAGAGAAGAGGAGGGGTTTCACTATAGAGCGAGCAGTACATATAGGCAAGATGAAAGGTGCACCACCAAAACAGAACATTATATAACTACACTAGTCTACACTACAGGCAATTACAAAACAATATATAGATTTATATATTATTCTGACACGCCCCCATAAGTGCCTGTAGGGAAGAATATGCAGTCAACGCCCCCATAATGGGGTACACCAAGAGTGCGTAGCAGTACGGGAGAGGGCAGGCAAGGAGGAGGAGAGAGGGAGAGAGAGAGAGGGAGAGAGAGGAGAGGAGGTGATAGGCTCTGGTTGGTCACCACATACATCCCCTCATCCTCCCCCTCCCCCTCCCCCTCCCCCTGCTGCAGGAGCAGCAGAGGGGGGGACAAACGGAGGAGAATGGAGCCGTAGGGCCAGGGGACCACACTCACCCATCACCCCCACACCCGCCACCCCCAGTCCCTCCCCGGGCTCCCCACACTCTCACACCCTCCCCCCCAGCGGCAGCTGCAGCAGAGGGAACAAAAGGAGGAGGAGAAGAGGGGGGGGGGGGGGGGGGGGGCGACGCACGGCCTCCCCGGGCGCCAAAGCAAGCGGCAGAGGGGGCGACGACTGCCCCCCCCTTTCAGGTCGCCCGGCCCCCGAAGGAGCCGCGACAGGTGACGGGAAGAAGGGGGGGGGGGGGGGGTGCACGTGCCCCCGGTGTGCCGCAGCTGGTGACGAGGCATGGCCGGGACGGGGTCGGGACCGCAGGTGTAGGAGACGGGGCCGGGGCCGAGGGCGGCGAGGTGACGCGGGTGGCACGGGCGGCGAGGGCGTCGTGGTGGGCGGCTTACGGGCGGCTCGCGGGCGGCTCACGGGCGGCTGCACGGGCGGCTGCACGGGCGGCTGCACGGGCGGCTGCACGAGCGGCTCACGGGTGGCTGCACGGGCGGCACGTCGGGTGGCGCACGGGCAGCTCACGGGCGGCTGCACGGGCGGCGCTGGTCGGGGCCGCTGGTAGGTGACGGGGCCGGGCCGCAAGTGGGCGACGGGGCCGTAGTAAGGGCGGCGGGGCCGCAGGGAAGGGCGGCGAGGCCGCGACGTAGGGCGGCGGGGCCGCGACAGTAGAGAGGCGGCGAGGCCGCGACAGTAGGGCGGCGGGGCCGCGACAGTAGGGCACACCACGGGGCGTGCAGTACACTCAGTAGCAGCGAAAGCAGGAGTCCAGGAGCGGAACACGCTCTGATAGCATGTCAGAACTTAGCTTGGCTAAGGAGCCATGGCTAGTGAGAAGTTCGAGTGAGTTTGAGTTAGGAGAGTCGAGAAAGTTGAAAAGAGAAGAGGAGGGGTTTCACTATAGAGCGAGCAGTACATATAGGCAAGATGAAAGGTGCACCACCAAAACAGAACATTATATAACTACACTAGTCTACACTACAGGTAATTACAAAACAATATATAGATTTATATATTATTCTGACACTGTTGACGCGGTTTCAAGGTGTCGTTTTCTACGGTACTAACTGTAAAAATCAGGACCGATCTGATTGCGGAAAGATCCGATTCCAACTGTTTCAGTTTCATATGCCATGCTATCTCTAGTGCCATAAACTACAAAGGCCAACTTGTTAGGAAATTGACTGTGGCTGAGACCCATCTCACTAGAGCCTAATAGTTTTAGCTATTCCCATGTGCAGATTTTATACTCACCTCTCCACTGAGTGGCTGAATAACATCAGGAAGGACCATTTGATTCTGTCCAATGAAAACAACTGTTTGGATAAGTGACAATTGGGCAACAAAAATAGTTCAAATTAAGGAATGTGCATCAACATCTGAGCAAATTTCATGATACATTTTATGATGGACTCCTCAAGGGCAGTTTTCACACGGGAAAAAAAAACGTTTTCAAGGAAATCACCCCATCTTTCCCTTCCTGCTCAAGCTGGTCTTCTTCAACCCCATCTTTCACTTCCTGCTCAAGCAAGTCTTCTTCCATTCGGTTAGACAACCTTGAGCATGCTCAACTTCTCAAACTCATCTCACAATTATCTGAGAACTCTTCTCACAAGTTTCCTACAACTCTTGTTCTTCTACCTTAGATCTTCAAGCCAAGCTACTTCGTACGTGCGTCCATAGGTAGTTGAAATCTTTGTTGTGTTGTCACGTTTTAAACTACTATTATATGAGAGAATGAGAACGAGAATGAATGAACTATGAGTGAAGTGGGTACAAGTACTAACCCTAATTGGGTTGTACCCGCTATGGGATACCCCACTACAGCCTACACAAAAGCATAAGCTATAATGTTCTGACACACCCCCATAGGCAAACTGGGGGAGAACAGGAGGTCACAAGACCAGTCAAGCAAAGCAAAACAAAGCAAAGCTCAGGGTGGATCACAAAGTCACCACACATTCCGAACACAAGTACAAGGCCACAAGGCCAGTTCACATGCAGGAGTACATGTATATATATATTTATATATATGGCTAGACAAGCAAGAGCAGGTATATATATATGTAGCAGTACAAGCAAGTTCAAGAGGTGAGCAAGTGAGGCAAGATAGGTACAAGACCCAGCTTGGTGCAGAAGCGCTGATGATCACAAGGCGGAAGTGCCTTGGTGAAGACATCAGCAGTGTTGGCCTCAGAGGCCACGTACGCAAGCCGCAACTGACCACGCTGCTGTAGCTCACGAGCAAGGAAGTAGCGGAGAGCAATGTGCTTTGTTCTGTGCTCCAGTCTCTGCTCTCGACACAAGGCCAGCATGGCCTTGTTGTCTACGTACAGCACTGGAGGAGAACGATGCGGCTCTCCGAGGTCAGTTAGCAGGTAGGTGAGCCAGCGAAGCTCCTGTGCAGCCATGGCCCCAGCGTAGATCTCAGCCTCACAACTGGAGCCGAGAACAAAAGACGAGCGAGTAGCCCGCCACGAGACAGAGCCGGAACCAAGGCTGAAGGTGTAACCCTGTGACGACCGCTGCGTAACCTGGTCGTGAGCCCAAGAAGCGTCTGCGTGCCCAGTGAGGACCACTGGACTGCGCCCTCCAAGCACTAGCCCCATGCCCGACGTACTGCACAAGTAGCGCAATACCCTCTTCGCTGCAGCCATGTGCTCTGGTCGGTGTCTCCTAGGAGCAACATAGCGTGCGAGAATGCTAAGAGGGTATGCAAGGTCAGGTCGTGTGCAGGTCACCAGGTACATGAGGCAGCCAACAAGCTCTGGATACGGGCCACTCGACTCTACGGACTCATTCGAAGGCAGAGCTGAGAGCGAGTGGCGAGTAGGCAGAGGAGTGGCCTGAGGCGAGGAGTACGTGAAGCCGAAGCGCTGAAGGACCTGCTGCACCATGTGTGACTGAGTCAGGGTAATGGTGCGGCGTGCTCTGTCCCGGGTGATCTGCAAGCCAAGGTAGCTGCGTAGTTCACCCAGGTCTGTGCACGTGTGTCTATCTGCAGCTCGGACTTCACGTAGGCGAGTCCAGCAGTGTCAGCTGTGGTAAAGACCAAGTCGTCGACGTACACGAGGATGTAGAACGGTGGTAGAGAGGTGTCGGTGCGTAGAAACAGCGACGGGTCGGCTGTAGAAGGAGCAAACCCAAGAGCCGCAAGCGTAGTCCTCACTGTGTCGTGCCACTCACGTGGCGCCTGGCGGAGACCGTAAACTGGACGCCGGAGGCTCCACTGGGTACCAGGAGGGAACTGTCAGAATGCTATATAGCTTATACATTTGTGTAGGCTATAGTGGGGTATCCCATAGGGGGTACAACCCAATTAGGGTTAGTACTTGTACTCACTCATTTCATAGTTGATTCATCCTCGTTCTAATCTTCTCATGGTATCGAGCAGTTTCCCCCGTGGGAACTGTGCCTAAGACCCACCACATCGATCTATTTTTTTCCTGCCCGAAGCGCGCTCGGCCCGAGTCACGCTCCGGGCTCTTACGTCGTCGAGCCGCCCTAGCGGCCTCCCCACGACCTATCTGCGGCCCCGCCGCCCTTTACTGCGGCTCGCGCTGCCCCTTCCCTGCGGCTCGCGCCGCCCTTCCCGGCCCGTCGGCGCCCTCGCGCCGCCCGTCC